GGGAAGGGTGGCAGCATGCACTGACCAGCCAAGAAGAAAGGCCTGCTTTCCAGCTGCCTGACCTGAGTGGCATAGGCGTTTGCTTTGTCCATCTCTATCTTCAGCCAGTCTCTCTGCCACTCAGTGCTGCCATTTCTTAATGATGACAGGCCCTGTTTCTCAGCCATGCATGGGTCTCCAGTCCCCTCTTCCCACCGGAGCTGTGGACCTCAAGAGATTCTTTCCAAGACAGGTACTAGGGCCTGTTTTGGCCCTCCTCCCAGAAAAAAGAAAAATATCTAAGTCCAAAAATGCAGTCAGATTTTGACCATCTTTGGAAATAGCGTCACTGTGGATGTTATTAGTTATCGTGAGGTCACCCCGGACTCCAGAAGGCCCTTGGTCTCATATAGCCAGTGTCTTTACATGAAGGCTCATGCAAAGATAGACACACAGGGAGGTGTGTTGAAAGGATGAAAGAGATGGCTGTAATCTCAGGAAAGCTGAGGATTGTCACCCCAACAGCAGGAACTTGGAGTGACCCAATGACAGGTCCCTTCTGCAGAAATAATTTGAGACAAGAGGCTGAATTTTTTTTCCTTTCCCCAGTAGGCTTGACTCCAAGCTGTGTGACCTGGGATGCATACTTGTCTTCTCTGTTCCTGTTTGCTTCTGTATAAGGACAATGATAGCACCCACTCCCGAAATTAAATGCTATAACACCACAGACAACCTTGCCTGATCATCATGAAGGTCAGCTGCATTGTCAACTGGGGCCCCACTCTGCTTATCTTTATGCCTTCTGCCTCATCCTGTGCCCTTATTGAAAACTTAATTTTCTTCCACCCAACCTAATCTTTTTGCACACATTGGATTCAGCTCATTCACCCACTGCTGAGCAATTCCTCCTTAGAGTCGGTGGTGTCAGAGATGGAACAAAGGTGAGAGCTCTGTGGGCTGGACAAGTGAGGGAAGACAGTTTTCCTTTGAGGAAATAGGGTACGTAGAAAAAATGTTATTCGAAGGCTAAAAGGCTTCCTGGCTGGACTCAATTAAGCCTGCAGACTTCACAGCTGATTAGAATCTCATACTAGCAGCCCTGGCAGCCCTGATTGCAGTGGGTGGGGCTCGCCCTTAGGCACCCTCTTTCTTAATCCCCCCTGCAGGTCATTGAAAATAAGCCTGGCTGTAGCAGAGCTCCTGGGGGAGATGACTGATGACCGTTTTAGAAGGTCTCCCCTCTCCACTTTGATTTAAAGCCAGTAAGAGATTTCACAGACAATGCACATCCATAGGGAATAAGAGAACAGGAATAAGAGAACCCACCTGCCACCCCACTGCACACCCCTGGGGCCCAGCAGGCGTGAGACACACTGTCAAGTATGCAGCGTCATCAGATAGACTGTTGCTACCCACAGCTCCGAGTCTGTGAGGGATGTGCACACAGTTGTTTCCCACATGGTTGTAGCTTGAATATGAAATGTCCCCCATACTCTCTTACATTTGAACACTTGATCCCCGGCTAATGGTATGTTTGAGGAAACTGTGACTTCAGGATGTGAGCCTCACTGGAGGAAATGGATCACTGTGAAAAAATTATTTTTGTTTGTTTGGATTTTTTGGGTTTTTGAGATAGTGTTTCTCTGTGCAGCTTTGTAGACCAGGCTGGCCTAGAACTCACAGAGGTCTGCCTGCCTTTGTCTCCTGAGTGCTGGGACTAAAGGCAGGCACCACCACTGCCCAGCACTTCGAAGGAATCTTTAGGGCATTTTATTCTAATCTGGGGTCTATTTCCTCTCCACTTTTTACTTTCTATTTCACCTAGATGTTATTACTGAATTTAGGGTCACACTCTGTGCCCCAACAAGCCAATTAAAAAGAGCCAAATTAATAGTGAAAAAAAGAAATGGGAAGTTTATTCAGTGTGTCCACATTGGGAAGAGAGACAGATCCAGTGACCCCTCCCCCACTCGAGTGCATCTTAGAAGACTGCATTGCTAAGCAGTCCTGATCAAGGCGTTGTCCTTCTATCACTGTATCGGTTCCACTCTTGCAGGGTGGCCTGCAAACCTTTTTCAGGAGGAAAGCTTCTGTTTTAGCTAGCCCAAGCTTTAGGCTTTTTCATTTTCTTTTACTCTTTTTTTTTTTTACTTTATGTTTATGGTTGTTTTACCTGCATGTATGTCCACATACCACATACCACATGCATGCCTGGTGCCCACAGAGGTCAGAAGAGCACATTAGAGTCTCTGGAACTGGGGTTATAGATGGTTGGAAGCTGCTATATGGGTGCTGGGAATCAAACCCAGGTCCGAATTCAAGGAAGTGAAGGGTCCCAGCTTGGACGGAGCTTGGAGTTTTGGAACAGAGCAACCTCCCTACACGCCTTCCCCTCTGTGATAGACTGTATCCTTTCAAACTAAGAGCCAAGATAAGCCTTCCTCTCTTAAGTTGCTCTTGTCAGGCATTTGGTCATAACAAGAAAAATAAGGAATACAGGGCCATTTTCATTTCAAGATGTCAAACCTCCTGTGTGCCCAGTCAGGCAAGAGAACTGAAGCTCAGAGGGTGATGAGATATGTCCAGGCCCCTCACACCAATCTAAGGAGTTCCTTTCTTCCTCTGTCTTCTTCAACAAACTTGGATCCCTGTGAGAGACTCTGATGTGGTTTGGAAGACAGCACTCTGGAAATGGCCACTGGATTGCTGCTGCACTGTTGGGACTCGATAGAAGAAAGCAATTCCAGACAAGACCCAGCTGCTGGGAAGGCATCAAAGGGAAGAGGAACTTTTGGAAACAGGATGTATGAGAACTTGTGGGCCTGCCAGGGCAGCATTCTGGCCAACATCACACTCTGTGATCGCTGGGGGAACAAGAGATTCAGTGTCTTATTTCTACTTCCCCCCAGCGCTGGAGATTGAACCCCAGATCTTGCACATGCTAAGTAAGTGCTACAACACTGAACTCTATCCCATGCTTTCCTAGTAATGTCTTTGTCTTGAGAGGTATTCCCATTAATGGGGTGCCACTCTTGGTGAGAATTTCTAAGGTATAAGTTCACATAGCTAACCAGGAGATAACCAGAGATTCCCCATAGGCAGTCTACAGACAAAGTAAGACTGTACTGGCTTACCATTACAGTCTTCTAGGGCAGGACTTCTTAAAAAATTTGCACTCACAACTCCTTTTTATCCATTTTTTTCCATGACCCCAGAAATATACAGGTGTATAAAATAGGTGTGCAATTCATAGAGAAATTTATTTTAAAACAAGTATTTGATATATGTATATTTTCACCATTTATTAAAGATGAAAACCAATTTGCATTCTAATGAGGTGGTATGTTTATTTTTAATATAAAGTGAAAGACCCCCAGATCCCTAAGGGCCTCAGGATCCCGAAGAGCCCCAAGACTCAGAAAACAGACCAAGAGCTGCAAAAGCAAAAGGGTTTATTGAACGAATGTGCATTCGGGTGTCAGCAATATCGGGAAAGCTGCACACCCCAGCATGGGGTGCAAGCTCCTTATATAGGACAAAACCGCGGATAAGCATACAGGCAAGGGGCACAAAGTGATTGATTACAAAGTATGATCTAATGTTAAAAGTGATAAACCAGGTGTGACCTGCTTTTCTACAAAGGAAAAACCACAGAACGTACCCTGAAAAGTCCTTGACTGTCTGTTGGCCAGCCAGGTGTGACCCTAAGAGGGTTGTCTTGGCCGTCTAAACCATAGGATGTGCCCAGGGTTGGGGCCAGCTTCCTTGTAATGGGCCAAGGCCTGGGAAACTTTTTCTCTCTGCGAACTAAAATCTTTCAAAAGAATTAAATATTGGTTAAAAATTTGATACTACAGGACACAGAGCATCTTCAGTGTTTTTTGGAGTTAATTGTTTTGACTTTATCATCATGTTTGGGGCCATTTTGGAAATTGTTGGAAATTCTGTTCTAATCCCAGGTAAAAATTGTTTTAATACATTAGCAGTTCAAACAGCAATTTCAAAAATAAGAGTATTCTGGGGGCTGGTTGTGGTGGCACATAGCTTTAATCCCAGCACTAGAGAGTAAGAAGTAGACAGTTACCTGTGAGTTCAAGGCCAGCCTGGTCTACAAAACAAGTTCCAGGCTGGCCAGAAATACTCAGTGAGAACCTGTCTCATATCTAGATAGATAGATAGATAGATAGATAGATAGATAGATAGATAGAAGTTCCAGGCTGGCCAGAAATACACAGTGAGAACCTGTCTCATATCAAGATAGATAGATAGACAGACAGACAGACAGATAGATAGACAGACAGACAGATAACTTAAAAATCGAATATTCTGTTGGGCATGGTGGCTCACACCTGTAATCCTAGCATTTAGGAAGCAGAGGCATTGCTGCAAAATTGAGGTCAACAAAGTCTACAAAGAGAGTTTGAGGCCACCTGGCTATGTAGCAAACAAGGGCTGGAAAGGTGGCTTAGCAGTTAAGGACACTGGCTGTTTGTTCTTCCAGAGATTCTGAGTTCAAATCCCAGCAACTACATGGTGGCTCACAACCATCTATAGAGGGATCTGATGATGACCTCTTTGGGCATAAAGTCACACATGCAGATAGGGCATTCATATACATAAAATAAATAAATATTTTTTAAAAAACAAAGAAAACCAAAATAAAATAACAATTTTTTTTCAAAGCCTGTTTTCAAATATTTTTTCCCCCAGTTTTACTAAATTCCAGTTGTTTCCATGAAGACACGAGTTTACTTAGCCCTCCTCAAGATGGCGCCATTCGTTTCCATTCCCCCAAGGCGCTCCCCTCAGTGTGGCATCTGATGCGTCGAAAGCTATTTCCGTCTGTTACAAGACGACGACAATGCCAGTCATTCTCGTCGCACTTCTGCTCTCTTCATGACGACCGACCGCAGCGATCAACTTCAACCCTCTGACCTTCTCAAAATGGCGACGAGCATAGAGCCACTTCCAAGATGGCGCCGAGATCGTAACTCTGTGTCGCAAAATTACGTAAATTCAGCGTCGCTACAAAAACACTTCCGGTTCCGCCGCAGGAAGCCTGACGGAGACAGCAGGGAGTCTAGGTTTTGGGACCCGGCGCCCGGGCAGGACGATGGACCGAAAGAAAAAGCCTCTGGATGTTACAGCCTCCTCGGTGAGTTCGAGTGTGGCTTAGCTACGTGCTTCCCACCGCTTTTCTCAGTGGAGAATGGCGACCTAATTGTTGCCTCTCGCAGGTCAGGAGGGCCTGGATTCACCGTCTGACAGGGACTCTTGACTGGTTTTCTCCTCAAGGGGACACACAACAGTTTCCTTTTTCACAGCATCCCTGACCCCCACTTCGTCAGGCACTTGGACTAGGCTCGCCCCACAGACAGGTCCCGGAAGCCGTCCTCCGGGGGATCTCAGAATGCATCCCCTGCGGGTCGGCCGCCTCAGTCCTGCCAGGTCTCGCTGTTTGAGGAGACCTGGAGGATGTGTGTCCTTTATGGCTTCTCCAGTCCAGAGATCAGCAAAGTCCTTCTCCAGCATTGGGGTGCGATTCGATTCCCCAGGACTCCAGAGTAGCTAGGGTCTCCGTAGCAAGAGCAGAAAACTTTTAAATACTGTACACATTTTTGTACCAGCGCTTCCTATGCGCTTTAGGATGTAAGTGCTTATTAAACGTCACTCTTCATTGATGAAGTTGACACCCAAACGTGAATCCTGGTTTCCTCAATTTACATACAGATTTGTTGTGAGAACCCCGGTTACTCAGCTCGATTGGCTACAAAACGTTTGTTTTTCTATTACCTCAGAACAAATTGCCTAACTTTTGACTTTAATCTTGAATTTACCAAGACTATGAGTATACAAGGGGAGAACATACCTTGTTGTGTCTAATGTTTGTCGGAATTTGAATTCAGTACTTGTAAACTAAATTAAGCAGGGTGTAGTTGCACATGCCCTTTTACCCCAGTATGTGAGAGGCAGAGACCGTTGACTAGATCTCTGTGATTCAGAGGACAACCTGAGCTACATAGTTTCAGAATATCCAGGGCCACACAGTGAGACCCTGTCTTTAGAAACCAAAACAAAACAAACTAAAGTCAGATTATCCAGAGGATAACATTTTCAATAAGTATATTACAAATGAAGTCCAGGAATTGGTCATTTTGTGAGCTAAATCCAGAAGTAGTTGTAGGGTAGAAAAATATATAACTAGATAATAGATGCATTTAAGAAGAGTTAAAAGCTGGGTGTTGGTGGTGCACGCCTTTAATCCCAGCACTCGGGAGGCAGAGGCAGGTGGATCTCTGTGAGTTCGAGGCCAGCTTGGTCTCTGGAGAGTGCCAGGATAGGCTCCAAAGCTACACAGAGAAACGCTGTCTTGAAAAACCAAACAAACAAAAAAAGAGTTAAAAGGCAAAATTTTCTTTCTTTTTTTCTTTTTGAAGAATTTTGAATATTGGGTCCTGGAGTGAAACTACTTTACATTGTTAAAATCCCTGCCAGCAGTACCTTAAAATGTATTTCTTTTAAATAGGAATCACTGAACTTAGTCATTAAAAAAAAAATACAGATTTATGGGGCTGGAAAGATGGCTCAGAGGTTAAGAATACTGGCTACTCTTTCAGGGGACTCTGCTTTATTCCCAGGACCCACATGGCAGCTTGCAACTGTCTGTAACTCCTGTTCAAGGGACTCTGACACCCTCATACAGATATACATGCAAGCAAAAACACCAGTGCACATAAAAATAAAAAATAAAAGGAATCACTTAAAAAAAGATTTACTTTGTGTGTAACTGTTTTGCCTGCACCTTCATATGTGAAACAGGTATGCCTGGTGCCCTCAAAGCCAGAAGAGGGCACTGGGTTCCCTGGAACTGGAGTTAATGCATGGATGTTTGTATACCACATGTGGGTTCTGGGAACCTAACCTGAGTCTTCTGCAAGAGCTGCTGACTCATTTCTTTAGCCCCTGAGCTCAGTCATTTTTATTTTTCTTGTCAGCCAGTAGTATCTGATTTACAAATGACTGTACATATAACCACTTGCCATTATATCACCCCCACCCCCACCCCAACCCCATACTGTTAGAGTTAATACAGCTTAGTGGTTAGTGCAAGTATTTGGCCAGCTGCCCCATTCTCTTCATCTGTGCTTCCCTATCCCATTTTTCAACCCTGTGATTCAGTTAAACTTAACCTTTTTAAAACAAACTAAGTCACTTGGCAGTGGTGGTCCTTGCCTTTAATCTCAATATGCAGAGGCAGATAGATCTCTGTGAGTTTGAAGCCAGCCTATAGAGTAAGTTCCAGGACAGCCAGAGCTACACAGAGGAACCTTATCTCAAAAAACCAAAACCAAACCAAACCAAACCAAAACAACAGTAACAAAAACAAGTAAAACTTGAACCTGTATTTCTCCTTATGTGTCCCACAAACAGAAAGTGCTTCAGAAATTAGTTGAATCTTATCTGAACATGTACATTTCATTTGTTTACTTTACTGTATGGCTTTCCCCTTGGCAGAAAAGAGGGTTGAGTGATAAAAGTTGGAGTAGAGCTATATTTGTAGCAAAACTACAATGAAGCCCAAAGCTGTTTAATTTTGTATGGAGTTCTGTATTTAAACTTGTGTTTCTTGTCCATGTTCAGGAAGCTGAAATCTTCCTTGGAGAATTAAAGTTGCTTAGCAATCCAGTCACCTGCCGCCAGAAGTGAATTAAATATTGTTGTTTACTTTTTTGTTTTATTCTAGTTGGTAGATCTTAAAGCTGAGCTCTTCCGAAAACAAGAAGAATTCAAACAAGAGAAACTTCTGAAAGATTCTGGAGTTTTTGGAAAACCAAAGACAACTAATAAGGTAAACATATCTCTACTGATTCCAAATATGGGAGAATTGCATCATATTTTAAATATTTGAAAAATGTCAGTAGTTATCTATAAATAAAAAGATGTTAAAGAAAAAAATCCCTGACTTATCATTGAACATTTGAATAAACTGTTAAACAGTACAATTAGTAAGATTATTTAATACTCTTAAAAAAGATTTATTTTACATATGTGTGTATACTTATATTATGCATGTGTATGCCATCTGTGTGTGGGTGCCTTCAGAGACTAGAAAAGGATGTTGAATTTCCTGGAATCGGAGTACTATGTGAGTCAAGCAGTGTGGGTGCTGGGAACTGCATTCAGATCCTCTGCAAGAGCAGTAAGCCCTTGTAATGAATGCTAAGCCATCTATCCAGTCCCAGTATTCTTCTTTCACATGATGTTAATAAGTGGATTGTTTACATTCTCATGGAAGGTTGGTATGTATTTTGTGTCCAAACAGAGATAAACAATTGTAAAATATAGAAATAGACTTAAAATATGAAAGACTTTAAGAGCTTTAAAGTTTTTATATACAGTAATCTACTATATTTCTTTGTATTTTGCTCATGTTCATTAGAATATTGAATGTGATGTTGTAATCAGTCATGGGTAAAAGTCAGTTGAGAAAGTATCTCAGTCAAGTTCAGAAATTCTTTAGGTGATTGAGGACTTTTCTTCAGCTCCAGCTTTGTCATGTGTTTATCATGTCTGCTGAGGGCTGTAAGTAAGATATAAGAATAAGTAGTTGTTTGATGACTCATGAGCTCTAAGAATTTTCTCTCCTTTTTGATGTACACAAGTTGAGACTGCTTTGTGATCATGTGGTTTTATTTTGTTCTTGTTCTTTTGAATCACTCTCCAGAAGCCAAGTATCTGGACCAAGCAGAATGCTGGTGTTTCCAGTCGAGCAGAGAAGGATGCTGAACAGAAGCTTGAGGAGCAGAAGACTTTAGACAAAGCAAGGTAGTTACACCTGAAAGGGGAGTTACCAGACCAAGAGCTATTTTCCAGATGTTACTCTCCCTGATGTACAGATCTGATAGCCATCCTTCTAGCCATGTGGTCTGTAAATGTAAATACAGTGTCCCTTGATTTCTAAGGACTATTGGTTGGCTCTAGGATCCCACTCTTCCTCAGATGCCAAAGCTCAAGGATGCTTAAAATAGATAAAATATTGTGTGTGGCCTCTGAAAACATCCAGTATACTTTAAAGTCTTTTCTAGATTACTTGCTATGCCTAATATGGTGTAAATACTTTGTAAATAGTTGTTATTCTGTATTGTTAGGGAATAATGCCAAAAAGGAAAATCTGTACAGACAGATACATAGTATACATTAGCAACAATATAACATTGTTTTGGAATTTTTTTTTTCCTTCCAGTTAGTTGAATCTGGAGATGTGGAGTCTAGGTATGGAGAGCCAGCTGTCTTCTAAAAACGCTATAATTTACACATACCCGTTGTTTTACAAAAAAGAAAAAAAACTAACAAAAAACAAAAGAAACAACTTCAGTTTAGAAGATGAAATAGGGTCCTGTTTTGAGCTTTTATCACATACTAAAAATATATCAACAATAAAATTGTTTTTAATTTGGAAAATAACTATTTGTTCTGGGAGTTGGCCAGCATCCTCTCAGAACTTCTGGTTCTGCTTCTTGGTGCTGGCAGCCTTGGTGATCTTGAGTACATTGAAGTGCTCTGTCTTATTCAGACCTCCACCCTCCTACAGTGACAATGTCAGTGGTCTGTAGATTCTTGAAAAGGGGACTGGTATACAGCTATGTTCTTGTGGTGCTTCTCAGAGCAATTGTGTTTTTGGATGTAGTAGATGTAGTTCTAGCAGAAGACAGTGGTCCTCTGCACCTTCATCTTGGTTACAACACCAGACAGGATCTGCTCTTGGATGGAGATTTACCAGTAAAGAGGCATTTCTTGTCTGTTTAGGTGCCCTTGATGGCCTCTTTGAGCATCTTGAAGCCTAGACTGATGTTCTTGAAGTACTGAGGGAGCCTTTCCTTGCCAGTAGAACCCACTTCTTTTTTTTAAAAGACCATGGGCTGCTTTTTGGTAAGCACGGTTGGTCTGAGTGTCTGTCATCTTTCCAGCAGCCTGAGAAAAAGAAAAAGCTGTATCAACAATTTTTTTTTTTTTTTTTTTTTTGAGACAGGGTTTCTCTGCATATCCCTGCTTGTCCAGAACTCAGTCTGTAGATCAGACAGGCCTTGAACTCAGAGATTCTCCTGCTTCTGCTTCCTGAGTACTGGGATTAAAGGCTTGGGCCACCACCACCTGGCCTATATCAACAATTTTTTAAAACTTGTATTTTTAGGGATGGAATCCCATGGTCTTGTCCACTGAGCCACATCTTCAACTTAACACGTTTTAAAGAAGTGTCCCATGGGCCCTACTCCCCATACTGGGTCGCCTTGCCCAACCTCAGTACATGGGGACGTGTGTAGTCTTACTGCAATTTGATATGCTATGTTTTGTACTCATGGGAGACCTGTCCTTTCCTAAACAAAAACAGTGGAGTAGATCGGGGGACTTGGAAGAAAGGAGGGAGGGGAAACTGAAAATGAGATGTTATATAAACAAACAATTAATTAAAAGAAAAAAGAAGTGTCCCATGGTGTGTTCCAGGGTAGATGATAGGACATTAGTATTTAGAGACCTCAAAACTTTGCCTTCCAAACAAAGAATATAATTAAAAGAAGGATAAAGGAACATTCTAATACCTGTCTCCTAAATTCACTAATTAGCATATTGTCGTTTGCTTTCCTCTGTCCTTACCCAACACCTGTAGAGGAAGACTTTAAGTGCCATGATAATTTACCTGTGATATTTCGGTATATATCTATCTGAACAAGGACATCATACTACTATATTTAATACTACTGTGTGGCTCATATTTTAGATCTTACCAGTTGTCCCAGGACAACTATGTTATAAATAGGTTTTGTAAAAATTCAGGCAGAATTCATTAAGTGAGTTCCAGGACAGCCAGGGCTGTTACACAGAGAAACCCCATCTTGAAGAATCAGGGGGAAAAAAATTCAGGATTCAAAGATTATATTCCATTCATGCCTTTAGTTCTCAAATCTCTCCAGTTCTTTTCCCTTTTGTTGTCAGTTACCCTGTTGAAGTTTACCCAGGCCAGTTTTTATTTCTGCCATGTCCCATGTCTGAATGACATTACATTAAAGTTTTTTTACGAATACTATGTAGGCTTTGTGTCTTACGTGAATCTTACCAGAGGTTCATAATTGTCAGTTTGGATCATTATTGGTAATGAGTTTGATCACTCGATTAGAAAAAGTCTGGTAGAGTTCTCTACTGTGAAGATGACCTTTTTCTTATGTGGTTAATAGTAACCTGGGGTGGGGAACTTTGAGACTAAGCATCCTGGTCACTAATATATTTCCATGTGTGGTTTGTATTGTTGGCAAGCCTTGCTGCTGCTGAATTTTTAGTGGGTTTCCTCTGTTTATTAGCTAGCAATCTTTTGTAAAGAACAAGCAGTAGTCTGTGCTTGGAGAATTCCAAATTGTAACGTCTACTGTAATAGTCATCTGCTTTTGTACATGATAAGAACTATGCAGCTTCATTGGACTGGGGAGATGGCTCAGTTAGCAAGGTGATTTGCTGTACAGCCATGAGGGCCTAAGTTAGAGCCTCAAAATCCTCATAGAAAAGTCAGGCATGGTAGTGTAGATTTGTAATTCCACTGCTGAGGAGCAGAGGAGCAGAGGCAGGCAGATCCCTGGGGCTTAGTGTCCAGACAGCTTAGCTTCTTTAGGGAGTTCCAGGTTCCACTAAGAGACCCTGCCTCAAAAACAAGGTGGATAACTCCTAAGGAATGACACCTGAGGTCAGTCTCTGACCTTTACATATACAGTCATACATGGGCACCCAAAGGAACACACACACACACACACACACACACACACACACACACACACAACTTCCTTGCTAACTTACATGACAGTGAAGATGAGATGGTTTTACTTTGTGTTATCAAGTTAATTTTTGTGACAACCCATAGAAGCAATAAAAAGAATTTGCTTTTCTATCAGTCTATAGGAGCTGAGACACAGAAAGGTTAAGTAACTTGTCATAATCATATGACCCCCCCAGGGACTTTGTAGTCTCTTCGTGCCATTAGGAGTTAAATTTCCCATTATGATTGATGAGATCATGACACAGATGGCCTCTTTGGGGCTTCTGTTTTTAGGCAATTGAAGAATTTCTGGACCTTTTAGCTTGTCATTACAGGCTAAGTACCACCAACATTATGTGAGCAGAGAGGCTGCTTTGTTGACATAGAGTTGTCTTATATTAGGATGTGGCTTGAATGTATTATTTGTGCTATTGAAATAGATACTGTCATGTTTTTAACACATATAAGTTGGTATAAAGAAGTGTAATAAGACACAAATGACCAGGACCCTGCTCTAAAAGCACTATGTCAAAGAGGCTTGCTTTGAATCTGATGATCCTTTTAGAAAATTTTTAATAGAAAAATGTTGTTTAGATACATCTCTCTTTTCACATGTAACTTAAGTGGCATTTAGAAGTTAGATTGTTGGAGCCTTAACTCAGTGCATCCCATTTATTCACTCATCAGATATTTATAGAGCAGTTACTTTGTACAGGTGTGGCTTTAGGTCCTGCTTTTGCTGATGAAGTACATGAGGTGGGTCTGAGGTCTCCTCAGGACAGGGCAGTCAGCACATGCTGTGCCCATCCTTTCATGGCAGGCCTCGGGAGGTGGCAGCTGTCAGGCTGATAGTTTAGTGGCAGAAGGGACAGTTGTAAGACCATTTCTAATACTTGTCTATTTTTTTTCCCTAGGGAAAAACTGGAAGAAAAGGCCAAATTATATGAAAAGATGACTAAAGGAGACTTTCCAGGTAAACCAAAGTTTACTTATATTTCTTTATTGTTTACAATTCATATAGATCCTCAGCATTATGTTACTTGTTTGAATGATTATAAGGGAGAACTTTAAAAAATCAAGTCAAAACTTTACTTTCAGTGACTACATAGAGACAAGAAAATATTCAATAATATTCTGATGGTCCACTGGGTGCCAGGCAGCTTGTGCCAGGAAGGGACTGGGGAGTATAGGAAGCCAGTTTTGCTGCCCTCACAGGAGATCTCATCTGGTAGAGGAGGAGAGCATAGTACCAGGAAACAGTTTAAATAGACCATCCTTGCATGTAGGGACAGCCATACATATTGCTAAAGATAAGGTGTGTAGAATTATAGTCCCATGTAGGCACTTGGGGTTATGCTGCCCCTTTTCCTGTTTTTCTCTCTGTTTTTAGTTTTATTTATGTGATGTGCTTTTTAAAAACTTCATGTTTTTGCTTTATTGCATTTTTTATTTGTGTGTATAAATATGATGTATGTGTATGTGTTAGTATGTGTGAGTGCGGCCTATGACACAGCATGGTTGTGTAGCATGTGTTGCTCCTCACCTCCTGCCTTGTTTGAGACAGAACCTGAGGGGGTTTATTCCCCCTCCTGTCTTGCTGCCATAGGATCACTGGGATGTGCTGCAAACTAGGCTTTATGTAGGCTCTGGGGATTGGAACTCAGGTCTTCACATTTGGTCAGTGAGTACTTACCCACTGAGTCATCTCACATTCTTACATTTATCCAATTGGGAAATTTTTACTTTTCTTTTGATAATCCCTTGCACCATTTCTTTTCTTTGCAGAATATTCATTTGCATTCCTCTTCTCTTTTTGTTTATTTAACTTTGATTCCTGTATTTCTCCCCTTTCCTTGCCTCTTTCCTTTGTCATTTATTATTTCTCTGTACCCTAAGTAATTTCAACTTCATGGCATATTCAATTAGTAGTTGTATGGTGTGCTTATAATAGCCTTAAATATTTGATATACAACTCCCTTTTGTCATCTCCCCCTGAAGTAGAAAGCAGAATTCATAGTTGGACAACAGTGTAAGAAACTTTCTGGACCAGTGTACACACTATTGGCAGGGGCAGGGAGAGCAAGTAGGGATTCAGGAAATTCCTAGAAGAAAATGGGTTTTGACCTGGTAAGCTGGAGAAAAGGACCCTTAGGAGAGGGTGGTAAGAGCAGATAGATCTTCAGAGAGGGGAGGGCTGGAGCTCAGCACTTCCATCTTGCCTAGCAAACAAGATGCCAGTGGGTGCGGGCTCTCATTTGCCTCTTCTCAGATGGCATCGCTCTTTTGTGCTTCAGGAGTCCAGAGTCAGGCATTCAGAGTGGTGATAGTGCTGCATTCCAAGAGGAACAAGGTAGTCATCTCCAGGATGCCTCACTGGTGTGTCCATCTGCATCTCACCTCTCAGAGAACATACTTCCCTTTTGAGATACTGTGTAGCTTTGAAAACTTTGTTTTATTCTTTTTTTCCCTTGGTTCAAAATTTCATTGTTACTATAGAAATCCAGAGGCTGGAGGGATGGCTTAACAGTTAAGATCACTTGCTGTGCTTACAGGAACAGAGTTTGGTTCCCAGCACCCGTGTTGGGCAACTCACAACTGACTCCAGCCACAGGAGAACTGATGTCCTCTTCTGCCTTCTGAGGGCACCTGTGCTCCCGTGCACCCCCTCTACCTCATATGTGTAATTATAAATAAAATGAAAACACAGTAACTCAGTCAAAAGGAATGTGGAAACTGGGTTTTGCCAAAGCTAGCAGACCCACCTTCTGATGCTTATATTGTACCTGTTTGTCTGAACTGGTTAAGTTTTGGAGCCTTAGTTGTCTTTGTCTCCACTGCAACACTGTAAAGGGGGATAGCACCACCACCTTGGTGATAGGGAGCCCAGTGTCTGTTGTAGCTCAGTCTCTGTCCTTAGGAAAAAAGACATGTTGAGTTCAGCCCTGTAGAGCCTGACTCCAGGCCTTATGTGAAAATGATGTCCACTTGTGAAAAGAACTGAGTACCTCTGTGTGTGTGTGTGTGTGTCTACCTGGAGCTCACTATGTAGACCAGGCTGACTTTGAACTAGAGATCTACCTGCCTCTGCCTCCTAAGTACTATAATTAAAGGTATGCACATCATGCCCCAGCTTCAGAGGACATTACCTGTGTTAGGACCTTTCAAGCACTTCCTACCACACATTAGTGTAAGAGTTAAATGATACAACTCATATGTTAAGAAAGACCTGTTACACCACAGCAAGAAAGGTTCACTATCTTAATTGGGAGACATGCTGTTCTGCTTCTCTCATGTGTGGGAAGCTGTGATGTGTTCAAAATCAGATGGCTGTGCTGTCTTAAATGGTCCTCTTGACCCCACAATGTCTTGATGACACAGCAGGAAACTCGAGGCTTTTAAAGTATTGTGGTCTATGTTTTGGATGGCTTATTTCAAGCTAGGTTCTCTGTGTCTGTGTCTTTCTTTGTAAAATGCCCCAGATGGAGGCATTGACTGGTGAACAGTCAGGCAGTGAGGCTACTTCTTAGTTCCAGCTATGATTTTCTTTTTTAATGCAAAGAATCTGTAAATCGATTTTTGTGCCCTAGACGAGGAAGTGGAGGACATGTACCTTGTGGATTTCACACAGAAGATTATAGACAAGCGAAAAGAAATGGAGGTGCTCGGTGCCACTAGAGATTCTCGAAACACAGAAGAGAAAGATGATGATGATGAAGAGTTTTCTGAAAAAGACATACCTCCTCCCAAAGACCCCAGCGAGGAATGGTGGGTAATATTGGGGACTAGATCAGAGTGATCCCCTCAGACTTGTATTAGCTTTTTGAGAATAATTTTCCTTGATGTTTACCACATCTCTTTTTCTTACTATGCATGGGTCTTTTGTTCCCAGGAACCAGCCCTCTAAGTTGGGATGAGCCAGTGTATGACTTGTATAGATTTAAGTGCACCAGTGGAGAGGTAACATCAATGACTGCAGATAAAAACTAAGCATCTGCTGTGCCCATTGTGGTGCTAGGCCCACGGTTCCTTGGACAGTGTATCAATGTCCTGTTCCCTTACCATGCAGCTGCTTTACCTGTGTGTTCTGGTTCAGATGTCAGGTCCTGGGAAGTGGTCCCTTTTGAGTCCAGAAAAAGAATCTGGCAGGGTAGGCACAGTAAGCTATATTCTAATTACATTGTTTTCTGGTATTGAGGTGTGGGTTCCAGTACTGCCTTCTGTCTGTGTGGACCTCTTAAGTTTGCAGTCTCTCTGAGGCCTAGCTTCCTTCCATAGAAAGTGGAGATGCGGTGCTTCAGTGCCACAACTATTTCCCTTAAACTCCCTCCTGGAAGCAAGAGTGTTTCATTCCAGGAGCATAAGCAGATACTTTGCAGAGCTCCATTATTGACATTTTCCTGAGTTTTACCTGTGTGCACATAAAGGATGGAGGAACCCAACCTAATACAGATCAGAGTGCAAATTCCATTACAGTGTCTTTTATATCACTCAGACACTCATTCAGCAGAGCTTGTCACTGATTAGACATCACTGGTGTCCTGAACATATACTCTTGTTCTGGGGAATTTCTTAGCAGCTGCTCAGGACTGTTTGTGGATTTCTTAGCCTTTTGCTAACCCCTTTGGACAGGTATTTATGCATAAAGAGAAGTTTTTGCTACTGTGGATGGTGCCCACTGTGGTCCATGCTTTCTTACCTTTTAAATAATTTAAATATGAAGTTAGAGACTATTGTGGACCATAACTTCTCAGTGCCTTTCTTCATCATTTGTAGTCAAAATACTTGCTTCCTTGTCTGAACTGTTTTTTGAATCTTATCCTTTATTTATAGTTGACCCACTCTATGCCTTATTAACAGCAAAACATTTGAGCCAAACTTTTGATTTTTTTTTATTTTTTATTTTTATTTTTTTGTTTTTCAAGACAGGGTGTCTTTGTGTAACAGTTCTGGCTATCCTGGTACTCTCTCTGTAGACCAGGCTGGCCTCAAACTCACAGAGAATCTGTCTGCCTCTGCCTCCCAAGTGCTGGGATTAAAGGCATGTGCCACCACTGCCCAGCTTGCTTGTTTTTTTTTTTTGTTTTTTGTTTTGTTTTGTTTTTTGTGATAGGCTTTCTCTGTGTAGCTTTGGAAGCCTGTCCTGGAACTCACTGTATAGATCAGGCTGGCTTCAAATTCACAGAGATCCTCCTGTTTCTGCCTCCTGAGTGCTGGGATTAAAGGTGTGTACTCTCACCACCTGGCTCCTTACTTGTTTTTATAATCTGCCTAAATTGTGTTTTCTGGCATGCACCCCTCCTGTTTCCCTAGAGCCCTGTAGAGCTCGGGTACTAGCCTTCTCTGCTCACCCAGTTTTTCCAGGTTTGTGCTGGCTGGGACTGCTCAGTAAGCAGCTGCTGATGAGCTAGAGCTGTTGCTGACTACTGTATTCCCTTTGCTGATGTTTTTTGTGTTTTGGAGACTTACTCCAGAACAGAATAGCTGTGATTGCCTTTCAAGGCAGAAATCTCATCTCTTTTGAATGCTCTAATGTCTTTTAATTTTTTTCTTATTAATGCCTGTATGATTACAAGCAATTTGTCAGCGATTTGAAGAGTTTGGAGGGCAATTGAAGGTGTCGCATGACACCATATGGGACTGTAAGACGCATTGCAAGCAGTTCTCATACTTTTTTTGTTTTTGAATTAAGCCCCAGAATTGTGACTGCTTGTAAATCCTTCTGGTAATTAAATTCCAGGTGGTGGAAAATCTTTCTGCAAAAATACTGTAAATAATTACTTGGACCATCTGGCCAGATGGTTTTTCCCCCATTCATTAAAAAAAGAAAATGAAGATGCTGTTTTATATAGATGTAGGTTTAATTTCTTGTGACAGTTGTCTGTAGTACTGTAGGAGTGGATTCACAAGTGTTTAGTTTTTAAAACATGGGCTAACAAGGAAATCAGCTTCACTTGAGAGTAAAGAAATTGTAGGCAACAGCAGAGCTAGCTGAGTCTGACCTTCAGTTGCTTTGCTGCTAACTTGCTTCACAGCCTATAGTAAGTCCTTAATTGTGTGTCTTGCACTCTGCTCCAGACTATGGGAGATTCTTTGCCTAGGATAACAAATATGAAAAAAAATCTGCACCATAGTGCAAAGGAGATGTTTTCTGTGAAAACCTGCCCATATTTTGTATTGTTAGCAAGTCTCAGTGTTTTGTTTAGCCTTATTTTGTGCTCAGCTCACCCTGCCCCTACTGTCTGCTTTGAGCAAAGATGAAGATAGATGTATATTGTTTGTCATCTTAATTAAAGGGGGTCCAAAAAATACCATGACTTACATTAAGAAACGCCTAAGATTGCTGGAAGACTGTGACAATTAAAAGTAGAGCAGTAATAGAAAGGTAAGACCTGAGTGCACTGTGGGGAGGGGAGTAGTAAAAATCTGGGGTACATAGTCCAGTGGCCAAATGCAGATACAACATTAGAGTTGTCTCTACTATATTCAAGTGAGTTCTTCCATGTCACAGCAATTTCTGCATTGGTAATTTGTCTTTGAACTCAGAAACAATAAATGATTAATTCCTCCCTACAGTTTCTAAAACAGGTTTTGTGGAGGGCACAAAAAGCTTATTGGGTGTCCTCTGCTAATTAAGAAGATTTTTCTCTGTATTAGTGATACCCCAGCTTCAAAGTTCTTGGTAATCAGGTCTATAATGACATTGCTTCTTTAAGTGCCAACTCCTTGACATAGGGATCTGCCCATTGTACTAACTGTCTTCCCACCATCTCACTTTCAGGGTGGATTATGTGGACTCTTTGGGCCGATCCCGGCGCTGCATGAGAAAGGACTTGCCAGATCTATTGGAGATGGATAAAAATCTTCAGGGAAGGCTGTAAGTTTAAAATGTGACCTCTGTTTGGAATGAAGCCACAGGGATTGTCATGTGGGAGAGGCTGCTGAATGACTCTCTGTTGCTCTGTTAAGATCTTTAATGTGTAAGAATACACACTGAAGCCTGTTGCAGTTAGCATGTTCAGACACTTAACTTGTGCTCAGGGAACAACCTGAATGTCATTGTCATTTATTAACTGATTTTCTTTTTCTGAGGCCCATTTTTTGGGGTACTGGGAAGAATGAGTTACATTATTCCCTGGGCTGGCCTTTAACTAGGTTTAAGTGATTCTTCTGGCTTAGGTTCCCAGGCAGGCACTCTGTTCTGGTCATGTGCATTGTAACTGCCGAAAGGGACAAGTAGATTGTTGAGTGGAAGGATGTCTGATTTAGTTTGTAAATACAGAATGAGCCCAAACCTAGTTAACAAACCAGCCTTTATGGATAGAGGGGTTTGAGATGGTTCACTTGCTTTTATTCATTTCATTTTTTTTTTTAAAGATTTTATTTATTATGTATACAACATTCTGCTTCCATGTATATCTGCACACCAGAAGAGGGCACCAGATCTCATAACAGATGGTTGTGAGCCACCATGTGGTTGCTGGGAATTGAACTCAGGACCTCTGGAAGAGCAGTCAGTGCTCTTTAACTTCTGAGCCATCTCTCCAGCCCTTATTTCTTATTTATATGTCTTTGTATATTGAAGCAAAGGCTTCATGACTACATTTCTAATGAAACCAAAGAAATAACATTCAAAAGTATCTTGGTGATTAAAATTCTATTAAGTCAGTCTTTGTATAAGATGTATTGGAGAAGCTCCACCTGTGTGAGCCCTCCCATCTTAGGCATCCTGTGGATAGGCCTGGAGAAAGCACACAGAGACCACAATACAAACTATGGCCACCTGCTGGGACAGGAAGAACTCTAGCAATGTCCATGTCTCCAGACAAGAGGCCATTCAGAGAAGTCCAATGGTTCATCCTTCCTGGCTAGGCAGCCTCCCATATGTTAACCAGGACAAGTGTACAAAGGAAAGTCATTTGTCTTGAACACTGAGGCAAGATCCTATCATACTCATGTGTAAGTCTGGTAATTGATTTAAAAATGATAAAATAGGGTCAGCAAGATGACTCATCAGGCTAAATTACTTGCTGCTAATTCCTAGTGACCTCAGTTCAATTCTGGGAACCCAAATGGTAGAAGGAAAAATTAGACTTCTGAAAGTTGAAAGTTGTCCCCTTACCTCTACCTGCATGCTGTGGCATATGTGGGTGTTTGCATGCATGCTCCTGTGTATATACATACACACAGTATATATAAATGCTTATTAAAAAGTATTGAAGCAGTTGTATTGACTTCTCAGTCAGAAACCTCTGCAGCAGCTGACATCTTTCCAAATGGTGTCATCTACCCAATGTGCTATATGTTGTTGTCTCACGGCACTCACCTGAACATAGGTCTCTATTCCTCTACTAGTTTTGTTAGTCCTGCTAATGAAAAAACTCTATTATCTGAAGACATGAGGAAAGAACTTCAGCGACAGCAATGGGAGGAAGAAGAAAGGGAGGCCCTGAAAAAGCCAATGGGGCCCATCCATTATGAAGACATTCGGGAAAATGGTATTGGGGGGGGGCATTTATTTGTGTGTGTGCATTGTGTATTGGGTTTTAAAAAATAATTTATTTATTCTTATTTTATGTATAGTGGTGTTTTACCTGCATGTATGTCTATGGGAGAGGGGGTCTCAGATCTTGGAATTACAGATAGTTGTGAACTGCCATGTGGGTGCTGGAAATTGAACCTGGGTCCTCTGGAAGAGTAGTCAGTGCTCTTAACTTCTGAGCCATCTTAAAATCTTTTTTAAAAGGCTTTGGTCTTTGTGATAGGCACAAAGCCAGGTGTCAGACTGCTTTAGAGTATGAAATCATCCCCTTTGTCCACAGCCTAAGAAACTTGGGAACCTCTTCCTAACATGCCTGTTAGCTCAAGAATCCATTCCCAGAGAGAAGAGAAGACAACCATTTGACTTGTTCTTTTTTTTTCTTTCTTTCTTTTTTAGTTAAGCTTGTGCAAATATCATTGTGTGTCTCTTTTGGTTTGTTAGGGAACTTGCTGTATTTGTTGTTTGCTAATGAGAGAAATCTAATTTTTTGATACTTTTGATTATTTCAGAGGCCAGGCAACTTGGTGTTGGGTATTTTGCCTTTGCCCGAGACAAAGAGTTGAGAAACAAGCAAATGAAAACTTTAGAGATGCTTCGTGAACAGGTACAAGTTAAAGTTTTTGTTATGGAGTTGAATTATTTTTTACTGATGGGCCATGCTTTAAAAAAATATAGTAAATTTAGAGACCCATAGCCAAGCATTAGGCAGAGAGAGAGAGACCAAATTGGAGAGCTCCATCAGGTTAGGGGAGCCCTTTGGAAGAGGGGGAGGAACAATTTGGAAGAATGGGAGCTGAGGACACTAGGAGAACACAGCTCACAGAATCAACTAAGCAGGACTCATAGGGCTCACAGAGACTGAAACAGCAACCACAAAGCCTGTGTGAGTCCAAACTATGTCCTTTGCAAGTAAGTATATTATGGTTGTTAGCTTGGTGTTTTTTGTTTTTTTTTGTTTGTTTGTTTTTTTGCGGGACTCTAAACAGTGGGAGTGGGGTATCTCTGACTCTTTTGCCTGCTCTTGAGAACCTTTTCCTCCCACTAGGTTGCCTAGCCCAGCCTGATATGTGGGTTTGTACCTAGTCTTATTATATCTTGTTATGCCATGTTTGGTTCATATCCATGGGAGGCCTGCCCTCTTTTGAAAGAAAAGGGGAGTGGATCTGGGGGAAAGGGGAGCTGGGCTAGGGGCTGAGAGGAATGGAAAGAGGGGGAACTGTAGTTAGGATATATTTGTATGAGATAAGAATAAAAAATGTAGGAAATAAAATGAAAATTGATATTCAGAATGTCATTTTTGGTTTGTTGGTTGCATACAGATAATTATCAAATAATTATGGGTTTTTTTTTGTTGTTTGTTTTTGTTTTTGTTTTTTTTGGTTTTTCAAGGCAGGGTTTCTCTGTGACTTTGGAGGCTGTCCTGGAACTAGCTCTTGTAGACCAGTCTGGTCTCGAACTCACAGAAATCCACCTGCCTCTGCCTCTCAAGTACTGGTATTAAAGGCATGTGCCACCAACACCCGACCTTAATTGGGTTTTCAGTCTCTAAAATTATAACTGTTTTGGAAGTAGCCTTACTTTGCTAGGTTTTGTTTTGTTCTTACTAGTAGTATATGTGTGTATAATGTGCATGTGTCATGGCATGTGTTGGACAGAGGACAACTTTATGGAGTTGATCTCTCCTTCTATCTCTGTGTTGAATCCAGGAATTGAACTCAGGATGCCAGGCTTGCATCATGGCAGCATGCATCTTTACCCACTGAGCCATCTAGCTAGCCCTGCTGTTTTATTTTATAATTACTATTATTATTATTTTGTGTGTGTGTGTGTGTGTGTGTGTGTGTGTGTGTGTGTGTGTGTGTGTGTGTTTGTGTAAGCTCTGCCTATGTCTATGTATACCATATGCATGCATGGTTCTTGCAGAGGACATTCCTAGAACGGAATTGTGGATGGTTTTAAGCTACCATGTGGGTGCTAGCAACTGAACCTGGGTCCTCTACAAGAGCAGCAAGCATTCTTAACCACTGATTCCAGCTCTCAGCCCTGCTGTTTTAAATCTAGTTTCAAACATGGCATTTTTGGATGATCTGGGAGAGGAAATAGGAAGTTGTGTTAAGGGAGCTGGAGGGCTTTCTTCCATGCGGAGGCTTCTATAGTGATGTGTGAGTTCTCACTAAGCTTCCTAAGGTGTCAGAGGGCTGTGACATTCTCTTTCATAGGGAACTGTTTTCAGCGTCTTTGGAAGAGCTACTTAGAGGTGCTGTGAAAATTAGCACTTTTTTTTAAAAGAGAATTATTTCATCTTTTGAAACAGAAATATTGTGAATTTGACTTCAAGTGAATAATTTTCTTTTTGTTCTGTCCAGACAACAGATCAGAGAATAAAACGAGAAAACATAAAGGAAAAGCGAAAGGCTATGTTAGAAGCGAGACTTGCCAAGCTTCGACAGAAAAAGATTAAAAAGTCAAAGGAAGATGGGACTGAAGAGGAAAACAGAGGTATATCAGGATGCCAGGCTTGCATCATGGCAGCAAGCATCTTTACCCACTGAGCCATCTAGCTAGCCCTGCTGTTTTATTTTGACTTTAACAGGGAAATCTTAGATCTATTGGTGTGTCACTTAATAGGGTTGCATGTAGGAATTAGCAACTTAGTTTTATCTCTAAATAGCATGTGCCTTTGAAGTACCATCAGCAGCAGTTTCTATCCTTACTGTTAGATATTTCCATTTATTTATCTATTATTGTATGTGGTGTGTGAGTGAGTGTGGGTGAGCATGCGCTGTAGCACAGGTGTGGAGGTCAGAGGAGAGTTTCCAGTTGTTAGATTTCTGCTTTCTCTATGAGATCCCCGCTTCAGATTCAGGTCATCAGGTTTCCTCAGCAGGCACTTTGCCCACTGAGTGTCTATGGTGCAGGAGCAGTTTTTATAGCTAGAATGTTTTAGAATGACACTCTCATGTTTTTAGACAATAGACAAGGATATTAACAAATAACACATTGAATTGCTTCTTATAATGACAGTTTAGTAAACCAAGACTTAAAAGTTTGGCTGTGTACATATATAAGAAAAAGGTTTTAAAATTTAATTTAAAAATATACACAAAAACATAAGCTACATACTTGGGGGTACCATGTGATGTTTTGATAACTGCATACATTATGTGGTAAAAATCAAGGTAAAAGTGTGACCAACTGCATAAAGTTGTCCTCTGACTTTTACATGTGCTGTGACATTCATACCCACTCACACTGAGAAGTAAGTATTGCCAAACTACTTCACTCTTGTCTAGTAAGACATGGTTGCTGCTCCTATTTTCACTAGTGATTAATTTTACTTCAAAGTTAGTGTGTTAAATTTTTATTATTTTGTTATTTTTGGTTTTTCAAGACAGGGTTTTTCTGTATAGCCGTGGATGTCCTAGAACTCATTCTGTATATCAGACTGACCTTGATCTTGGAGATCTGCCTGCCTCTGCCTCTTGAGTGCTGGGATTAAAGGTGTGGGCCACCACCTCCCGGCTTAAAATGTTAAAATTTTAAACCATGGTAATAAGGTCTGGTTTCCTTACAAAACTAGATGGAGATGTTACTGAGCTTTTGCCATCAGAACCAAAGGCTGTTCCTGCTCCACCTCATGTGGCCCAGACCAGCAAAGTAGAAGTCATCATCCAGGAAAGGAAGGACACCAAGCCTGGAGTGCCACACATCCGAGAGTGGGACCGAGGAAAAGGTAGGGAGGGGCTTTTAGGTGTGAAACTTCCTAGTGAGGCCCTGGTAAAGGTGGTTTTTGTTTTAAATCAAAGTGAGATTTTGTTTTTATTTTTTTATGGTGTAGAGATGGAATCTGGGGCCTTACACATGCTTGGCAAGAGCTCTACCTCTGAGCTCCACTGTCAGCCCCACAATGAGTGTTCCTGAGGCTTAAGGAAATCTCCAGGTCTTTGAACTTGTTTCTTCTCCATACTGGACACTAGTTGTTTATAAACAAGAAAATGGGAAAATGTGATCACAAAAGACCAGCATCTACAAAGGCACTCTGTCACCGAATAAATTTCTAAAAAGTACTTGGGAAGTTTAAGTCCATACTTTTAGATGTGGCTTTACATTTTGGAATGTAACTTTTTAGGACCTGCTTTTAAAATATGATGGAGGTTTGGTGTTCTGAGATACTCTGTCTTTAGCCATCCTTTATATTTGTTTGAAAGTTTACCAGAGCTTCCAATGTGTATGCACATCTTTCTGTAATTTTTCACCAAGGTGCCCACCACAGTCTTCACTGCAGCAGACTGTTTTATGCCTCTTGCAAAGATACTCAGTGGAACATTAGCTCCTGCTGTTGGAGCTGACAAGAGAAATCTAAGAGCCATTGTTAAGATTGGATGAGTCCCTTCTGTATCCTCCAGAACTCAACAAATGACAGACTGCTTTGATGTGAAACACCTACCATGTCAATTCCAGCAAATAATTGTTTCATTTCTCAGTAATTATAGTGCCCTTTAGGCAATATGGTCCAGAGCCTGTCAGCTTCTCCACAGAACCTACCTCTAATCTTTCCGTGTTGTGAAGCCACTCCATTTCTTAGCTAGTATCCTTGTTCTTGGCGAATCTGGGTTAGCTTTTAAATGGATGTAAGAACTGAAAAATGATTACAGAAAATTTGACTGGTTCATAATTGTTTCTAATAATACTCTTTCTTATTTTCACTAGAATTTTCCTTTGGATACTGGTCGAAGAAACAGTCAGAACTCCGGGCTGAGCGAGATCCTGAGTTTGCCCCACCATCGAATTATTTTGTGGGTCAAAAAAGAACTGGTCCTTTTAGTAGCCAGCCATGGAGCAGAGTGGGATCAGCACCGAGTGACTTGGGGAATTGCTCTGGCCAGAGCCAGGAACCCAGCTCTTCACACATATCTACATCTGGCTCTGACAGCCCCTCACAAGCATCCACAGTCACTTTCCAAACACTAGATGATATGATATCTTATTATAAACAAGTCACATGACCTTGAAAAGCATGCTGGTTCCATTTGTGTCATCAGAAGTCATGACAGAACTGAGTTTCATGTCTTTCTTCTTGTCTTTTCCCTAGAATGCATATGCTTGAGGTCAGATTAGTTGGCATGGAGGAGTAAGTGTGCCCATGGGAGCTTATTGATTTCTTGACTGTACATTTTTTATGACTTTGTGTAGAGGGAATTTAGCCCCTCCACTCCACTCTGACTTAGTTGTAACTCATTTGGATTTCCAGATGTGTGAACTGTAAATACCAATCTGAAATTTAGTTCTGAGGAACGTGTTTCTTTTTTAGATTAGAATGTTTTGCCTTCATATATATATGTACATCATATGTGTGCCTTGTGTCCAAGGAGGTCAGAAGAGGGCATTGGATACCCTGGAACTAAAGTTATGGATAATTGTGAGCCACTATGTAAGTGCTGGGAACTGAACCTTGGTCCTCTACAAAAGCAGCCAGTGCTCTTAACAGCTGGTCTATCTTTCATTATCCTGCTGAGGAGCTTATAGCCCTGCTTCACAATATACCCACCCATGACTTTGCTTTCAGAAATGCTAGCATGAAGGTATCTATTCCACATATTCAACTTCCCAGACAGGTAATGGAGCAATATTGGGAGTTTTTACCTGTCCAACAGGCAAATAAGGGCCTCTTATAGGAGGCAAAATCAAAAAGGAAGCTGGTGAAATGCTAACTAATGTCATGTCTGAGGCCATGAGGTCAGAAAGAATACCTACAGTTCTATCAGAGAGTTAGAGGTTGATTGTTCATCTGTGTCAACATGTTATCCAGTTACCTGCAGCCCTGTCTCTGCAGACATCTGGAGTTGTGCTGAATTACTTAGGCATTCCTTGAAGGCTGCTGAGCCTGGTTAGAAACCAGTGTTCCTTAGTTTTACCAATTAGTGCTTTGACCCTACCTTTCTGTCCTGCCTTAGTACCTCCTGGTGCTTCCATTGCTTGAGGCTTCTCGACTCTGTAGCCCGAGTGGGTCAGATTTGGGACCCCATTGTGTAGAGCAGGTAGGTCCCTGCCTTTGTCCTTACTGAACAGGGATGTTTGGTGCACAGGAATCCAAAGGGCGTCACTGTGTAGGGGTGTTCAGAGGATTTGCCATGCAACTATAGACAGGCAGTCAGCAGTTGGTCACCAAGCCTTTGGAATCAGTGGGCCCTCCCAATTCACGGAAAGTCTGCAGTGCTCTCACCTAGCACTGCATTATGAGGGGAAGTGCCTGGCTCTTCCTGTGATGGCCTACTAGAATGTGGAATGGATCAACACCTGGCTCAAGGTCATGTGGCATCTAAGTGTCAGGTCTAGGGTGTCAACAACTTATATCTAACCTCTAGGCTCATGCTTTTTCTAGTACCTTCTGCTCTCAGTTTTCTTGCCTCAGTATCAAGAAAGTTTAGATAAGAAATTCCATTCTTCGAAAATTACCTCTGAGCTCCACAGCAAAGGGAAAGCTGGACACAATGTCATCCTGTCAGTCTCATTGGGCATCAAAACTCTAACCTAGTTGTTTTGTTGTTGTTGTTTTGTTTTGTTTTTTGTATTTTGTTTTTTTCAGAAATGGCAAATGCATCCTAAAATTCATATGGAAATGTCAGGGACTCAGAATAGCCAGAAAAAAGTTGGAGGACCAAACTTCTTGATTCAAGACTTACAGTGTAGTACTGGCACATGAGCACAGGCACAGAAGTCAGTAGGGTAGAACACAGAGCCAGGTGTTTGTGGGCAGTTGACTCCTGATGAGGGTGCCAGAACCATCCAATGGGAAGGAGTGTACATTTCTCAACTTTCCAGGGCAATGCAATGAGTTTAGACTTTGACCTGAAACCATATCTAAAAGTCAACTAAGGATGAACCAAAGACCCAAAAGTAAGGGCTGGAACTATAAAAGCCAACAGAACGAAATAGCTTAGAAGCGAAAGAAAGAAATAGAATTATTAGACATGCCACAACCATAAGCAAAAGCAGAAAAGAGCCAGGTATGGTGGTGCACTCTTTTAATTCCAGCACTTGGGGAGCAGAGGTAGATGGATCTCAGTGAGTTCATGCCTAGCCTGGACTACATAGCAAGCTCTAAGCAGAATAAAAAGAAATCACATGTGATTGCTGAGAAGAAAGTGCATTTATAAGGTAGAGCATCAAGAAGAGAATGTGGTAGGATAGGGAGGAGAAGGCAGGAGGGACAGCCAGGCAGCAGTGAGCCTTAAGTGGAGCCAGGGCATGGGAGGACCCAGCAACCACAAGCCCTTAGATGGGCAGAAACAGTAAGCACAGCCACTCATCACTGTCAACTAGTAACTAACTGTAGGGATTTTGAAGACTCTTTGTAAGTCTCTTTCTAATCCTATCTTTACCTCATCAGTTGTAAGGCTTTTTGGCAAGCCTTGTGTCTTGGTGTTTTAGTCCCTCAGATCAAGCATGAAATCCACTTCAGAAAGTTGTTTCTCATGGACCAGTTTTGTGTGAGGGTGTCCAGAAGATGGCAGCAGACTCCTCAGAGTTCAGATCCCTGCTCTAAGATTTTACTGGCTTCATAGGGATGCAATGAAAGTGTCACTTTCAGTTTTGTTTCTTTCCTTTTTGGAAGACAGGCTTTTCTGGCTATTCTGGGTCCCTGGCATTTCCATATGAATTTTAGGATGCATTTGCCATTTCCTTTATGCAGCTCAAGCTTGATGTGTAGCAGAGATGATCTTGGATGTTTTGTAGCTTGCAAAATTTCATATATATTATATGTATATATATATGTATATATATATATATATATAATATTGCATTTCCTTTTCTCTTTACCTTCTATTCTCACTTATTTCCTTCCACCCCTGTCAACTCCCCCTTTTTCTTACAAGCCCCGTTTTCGCATTCTTTTTGTTGTCTCGTGATCCACTTATTTTGTCTGAGACCGTCTGTGTGATCTTGGATTTAGATTGGATATCTATTTAGATAGATATCTATTTAGAACCATGACAATGACTTTTCCTCAGAATCCCTTGTAGCCAGTTGTTCTTCAAGGAGTGGTAGGGCCCCATGAACCCCTCCCTAATCAATGATTGCTTCTTGACAGTTTGTCTTTTGGAGATCCTTTTGATTTTGAAACTGCTGTGAGATTAAATGTGCCTGTGTTGTGCCCTGATGATGGCATTTCACAGTCCTCTCTGTCTTCCAGATTTACATTCTCTGTTCCCTTTCGTGATGTTCCTGAGCCTAGAGAGATAGGCACTTAGCTATCACTTGACTCTCAGTAACCTTAGCTGTCTTGAAACTTGCTATGTAGACTAGGCTGGCCACAAACACAGAGATAAGTCTGCTTCTGCCTCCTGAGTACTGGGAATAAAGATGTACACCAGCACAGCCACTTTTGTTTGTATGTGTATGAGTGAGTGCCTGCATGTATGTATGTGTGCCCTGTGTGCCTGGTGCCCTCAGGTCAGAAGTGGGTGTCATGTTCTGGAACTGGTCTTACAGGTAGATCTGCTATATGGGTGTTGGGAATAGAGTCCTCTGCAAGAATAACAAGCACTGGGCTGGAGAGATGGCTCAGGGGTTAAGAGCACTGGCTGCTCTGCCAGAGAATCTGAGTTCAGTGTCCAGCAACCACATGGTAGCTCACAACCATCCATAATGAGATCTAGCGCCCTCTTCTGGCCTGCAGCCACACATGCAGGCAGAACACTATACATAGTAAATAAATCTTAGTTAAAAAAAAAGAATAACAAGCACTTATAATTACTAAGCCCTCTTTGTTCTTTTTTCATATTTAGTTCTCAGAGTGCACTGAAGTCCACAATGTAGCTGAGTTTGCATACTCAGTTTTTACCAGAAACACTTCATCTGTATTTAGATGTCATAAAGCAGTTGGAAAAAAAAACAAAAACGAAAAACAAAAAAACCCAAAAAACTAAAGTTATATCCAAGTTGTCCCAAACAAACATTTAACTTTTCTGATAATTGAATTGAGTGAAATTTTAAATTTAAGAGTTTTCGTTGATATACTTTTTGAGATGTTGAACTACAGCCCCAACTTCAACTTTTAAGTTCAGCCAGGCGTTGGTGGCGCACGCCTTTAATCCCAGCACTCGGGAAGCAGAGGCAGGCAGATCTCTGTGAGTTCGAGGCCAGTCTGGTCTCCAGAGCAAGTGCCAGGATAGGCTCCAAAGTTACACAGAGAAACCCTGTCTTGAAAAACAAAACAACTTTTAAGTTCAAATTTCATGTTATTATTGCGTGTATATAGAATTGGTGTAGTGAATCATTCTGCTGACCTGCAGAATTCCCAAAGGAGAACATTCAAATCCATATACACATAGGGAGATGAGACAACTTTGTAGAATGTTTCTCCTGTTCCACCTTTACATGAGTTAGTTTCAGGTTCAAACTTGGGTTGCCAGGCTTGCTAGGCAAGCCCCGCCACTCAGTTGTTTGGCTCTCCTTCCCCACCAAGTTGTAGATTTAAATTAGTGAAATTGAAGTTTAATTCCTTTGCTGTGCTAACATCATCTGAGTAGGACTGCTCCAAAGATCATTTTCTGGTTTTGTGGTCCCTATACAGTCTTCCCATTAGTGACCAAAGAATTGGCAAGTCAGTTTCTTGTAGGTACACATAAGATATCCTGTGACTGTGTCTACTTGGGAGCGGGAAGTGGTGAAATCTATAAGAGGACATCCCTGTGTCCTATTTGTGCCTCTGAAGAGCAAAGCAGACCATTTGGAAAGAGACTGTTTTTGAGTTCCTTGTTTCCATTGTAACCTCTTCTCTGGGCCTTGTGTGTATTGCTGTAGTTCGTTTGAATTGGTGTAGTGAATCATTCTGCTGACCTGCAGAATTCCCAAAGGAGAACATTCAAATCCATATACATGAGCTGCCTGCTGCACCCAGCTATACATTTGCCTGAGACTTGGGTCATTCCCCTGGGTTGCTGTTCAGCTGGCCTGGTTGTGACATACAGATGAGGCAATGGAATTTAGAATCTGAAATGTGGGTGGGTACTGGTCTTTACAGTTAACACAACAGGATAGCTGCAGCATATGTGGCTCATATCCTTTTGAGCCATTGAGGCAAGCTGAATCTGTTATATGTCAAACTGATCACAAAAAATGCTACACAGCCAAGGTGAGTGAGGATATTGAAAATGATTTGTTGACTTGGAAATGATGAGAGGAGACACATGCTGACTGGCTGTGAGGACTTGTGTGGCTGGTGGAGGCTATGGGCATCTGCCTTCGTGTTTAAAGAGTTGGCAAGTGTGAAACATGAGGGCTTCAGTGTGGTGGAGTTGATGTTAATGTCTGGGAAACTGGAGGTCAAGATGCTCATTTGAAACCATGTTTTCATAAGAACCTGTACCCCATGCTGGGGTTGGCAGAGCATGCCTTTAATCTCAGCAATCAGGCAGGCAGATCTCTGAGGCTACCCTAGTCTTCACAGTGAGTTCCAGGTCAGCAAAGCTGTACAGTGATATGGTCTCAAAAACAATTAAAACAAACCCTAACCTCTGGCAGAGCATTGATGCTCTGCAGCGATTTTTATATCCAGGCTGCACATGTATGTGTACAGAAAATGAGTGTCTACCAATAGGAGCAGTCAGAATCTTATTTCCTTTTCACTCTTAGTTTAAGTCCCTCCCTCCCTTCCTTTTTCATTTAAATCCGTTTCTAATTGCTGTGTTTTCCCTAGCTCCAAAAGCCTTCAAGCATTTTCTCCAGGCTATGCTTTGTCCTCTTCTGTGTCTTGTTCACTGTCAGCATTAAGCTTCCCTGAGCTGGACCATGATGTCCACCTTTCCCTTCCCTACCTGCTTCACCCTCTCCATCCTTCCAGTTTTTACCTGGCTCTCTGTTCCCTACATAGTCCCCAGATTACAGGGGCTCTGAGAACTGTGCAGGACATGTGGTTTCTTATTTTCTGGCCACAGATAATCTGTACTATTAAGTCTTCTAGCTCTAAAGAAGCTATTTTGAATTTCCAGAAAATGGTCTGTGCAATGTATTATGTAAGCAACACGGGGCTGGTTTGGTTTCATTTAAGGTTTCTAAAACTGAGCTGCTCAGTTATTTTTAGTTGCTGCCTAGTAGTTCATCAAAGTAACAGAAACACAAACACAGGTCAGCATTCCTTGGTAGGAAGAAACCACCAGCCAGAGCATCTTTCAGATTGATTTAACAGTTGTCATACTGTTGCCTTCCTTCTGCCTTGAAATGTTCCCTTGAGCATCACTTTGAGAAGTGACATCATTAGGTCACATGGACAGACATTCTTGATTACTCCTTTCAGGAAATTTATCTCAGTGGGGGCTTGTTGACACTGCAGTGGATGTCCCTGCAGAGGGACCAGGTATTTAGAAGTGTTGGCACCCCAGGACTGCATCACCATGGTCTCATGTTGAGTGTTGGCATAGCATGAGGTGAAGCAGACTGCATGCTAACTCACCATCTGTACTATGCACTTTTCTATGTGACCTACTTTCTTCCTGCTAGAGGGTTCTCTAGCATCTCTCCAGATACCACTTTAT